TTATCAGAAATTGGTTAATGCTGGTTCTCTAAATTTTAGGGTACAACTGCTGCATTATATGATTATATATATATATATTAATGTGTGTGTGCGCACGTGCGTGTGTGTGTGGGCAGGCGTGCGCTGTGTAGTCCATCGTTAGGATGTGCGGGGAAAAAGTTATGAAGATTTATTTGTATTGCAGTTGTTGAACGTGTGTATCTTACACATATGTAATATTTGGACGTGCGTGTGTGTGTGTGTGTATGTTGAGCTTACTATCACAATATTTTGAAGGTGGAAGGGCAACCGATACCACTGAACATAGGTTGAAGGCATTCAATAAGATCAATTTGAACGAAGATGATCTTAAAACCTAGAAGTAATGATCTAAGTAAAAAATTGAACATGTCAAAGAAAAGGTAAATTTTCTTGTAGCAGTCTTCTTTTTATGTATGATTTATCAGAAATTGGTTAATGCTGGTTCTCTAAATTATAGGGTACAACTGCTGCATTATATGATTATACATATATTAATGTGTGTGCGCGCACGTGCGTGTGTGTGTGTGGGCAGGCGTGTGCTGTGTAGTCCATCGTTAGGATGTGCGGGAAAAAGTTATGAAGATTTATTTGTATCGCAGTTGTGGAACGTGCGTATCTTACACATAAGTAATATTTGCACCTGCGTGTGTGTGTGTATGTTGAGCTTACTATCACAATACTTTGAAGGTGGAAGGGCAACCGATACCACTGAACATAGGTTGAAGGCATTCAATAAGATCAATTTGAACGAAGATGATCTTAAAACCTAGAAGTAATGATCTAAGTAAAAAATTGAACATGTCATTTTTTTCAAGGCAGAAGAGTATTGTAATTATTAAAATGAATATAAAAATTAAATAAAATAATACAATATAAAATAAAATAAATTAAGGGAAAACATAAAAGAGCCAAAAGTGCAATTGTACCATTCATAAACACCTAAAGGAGCTAATTGTTAACAATTTCCCATTTCAAAGGATCACTATCATCTTAAGAGTTAATAAAAGCTTTATTGAAGTGTAAATTTTTTTTGTGATGCTTTTTTTTTTGTCCCTATCACCCGTTATTTTGCTATTGATTTTTTGAAAGAGGATATAGCATTCAGAGAGTCATCATCATTAATTCTAATATTCTCATAGATACAATTTTATTTGTTTATTTGCTTATTTATTTTCCTCTTAATGATCAAAGTGCTTGTGAGAGGGGTGGTGAATATATTGTGCTCCAAATGATTGTGGTGAGGGAGGGGTGAGAATTACTTCTATTACAAATTAACATCATAACAATCTACTATTACAAATTAACATCATAACAATCTACTATTACAAATTAACATCATAACAATCTACTATTACAAATTAACATCATAACAATCTAGTTTAAAATGGCTTGGGCCATTATGTATTTCATGAGTTAATATGGAAAACAGAAATGGTATATCATATTTAGTAATTTGATTTTTCTATGCTATCGAACGTATCCTGCCTAGTAGAAGGTTGATTTAGAGATGAAGAAGGGAAAGGCATAAAAGCTACTACATTTGAAGCTACTACTTGAGAGAGAGGATTAAGGAGTTAATGAGTTGGTATCTAAATGAAATTATTTTAAAGATAATATTATTATCCATATATAAGAAGTTCTCATGCAAAAATAAGTGACATTGAATCTAAAACATAGAAATATGTATGATCAACTCCTTCATAAGTGACCAAAATCACTAGAGTTTAACTAAAAATTATTAAGGGATTATTGAGTTGCATTAAATTCAACCAATATTTTAACAGTAAATTTTTTTAAATAAAGAAATAAACAAAATATAGGTGTTTAAGTTTATTCAACACAAAAATAATATATTGATTAAAAAGATTATACCTAAGATGTGAAAATGAAATCTAAATATCAACATTTAGGAATTAAGAAAACAATCCAATCTCAAGGATCATTTGATTTTTTAATAAAAGACACATGATATTCAAAATCTTAGAGAAAAACAAAGCATAATATTCTACAAAACTTTTTAATTTCAACAAAACTAAATATTGTAGTAATTAAGTAAGAAAACTGAGATCCTGCTATAAAAATAAAAATAGTTCAAGGAATTCTTAATAACGAGCTAATGAGGTCATTCACCTAAAAATTTATGAAAATAAGGAAGATGAAGTTCAATTATGTGATATTTTGGAACTATTGTATCCTTCTTTTTTATGAAGTGGGAGTGTACCTCACAAGTCAGAATGTCTTAATGATCTTCTCCTTATATGCAAGATTAAATCTCTTATAAGCACTTTCATGATATCATATTTAATGGGAGAGTTAACAAAAGTACAAAGGACATGAAGAAAAACTCATCTTCCTGTCAAAGAAAAAATTTGCAAGCATTAGTACATCAATGAAAAAACTAAGAGAAGAATGTATTTATTGGAGACTAATAAATAATTATTTTATTTAGGAATGCATCTTATTTCTATTACAAAAGTTAAAGGACTATCTTGAAGATATTTTATGATATAAACGAAGAGTGGGAAACAGATAGTGATCATAATCATCAAGAATATATATGTAAAATTGATTGTCATGAATTTTATGATATTCTTTCTATGTAAGAGATACTAAATATAGAAACAAATGGATTCTGAACCAAACAAATTTTTTTAATGTGTGATATAACATTTGATTATTTTTTAATTTAAAATCAATTAATTAGTAGGTTTATATAAAAAAAACTATCATGATGTGACAGATTTTGATTATGTGAGACAAGTAAATGCATGTCATGATAATGAATATTAAATTATTGGTTAATTTCAATTATATAGTATATATTATCTAGTGATGTTAAGATATTTGTGAATTTTTGGGGCACTTTGATGATCACATAGAAAATTTTTTAAAATTTGTATAGATGTTCCATGTAATATGTAATGCTACGAGTTACTTTCATGATTACTCACTGACATTAGAGTATCTTATATATATTTTTTAAATGGAAATATATAAGGTTATTTCCCGCAAGTCGTTACTATTAAAAAGTTCAAAAACATATTAAAGCATGTGATAATGGGAGGATTTCAGGTGATTCAATTGATAGGGTTTACATTTCATAATACTATTTAAGGAAAAATATGGACACTTTAGGGAAATAAAACTCAATGAAAAATGAACATTAAAGTTTAGTGGTATCATTTCATAGAATCATCGTAATGATACAAATATCTTTTATAGGTGCTTTTGTCATGCATTATTTAGGCTTGATAAGATTATTTGACATTGAGCTCCTCAAAATTTTGAAACGTATAAATTAAGCTTGCTTAAGAAGGAGAAGATTTATAAAAGTTTTAAGAAGAATCTAACTTTTAAATAAACATGATGATTATTATATCAGCTTAAAATATTCCTTGTTTACTAAGCAAATGAGTTTCAAATCCTAAATTTAATGGCATGCTTGGTATTGCCTCAAATCATTATAGCATACTTAAAGAATTGTAAATATGAAAGTTTGTTTGAACTTGATTCAATAGCTATTACGATTTAGGCCTAATATTTACATTCACTTGCATACAAAGGCTTCTAGAGATATGGGAAATCCTTTTTGAGATTTAAATATTAAGAAAGCATACCACTTATTTCTTCAAGATTACATGTGAATTTTCTATAAGAATGTTTAATAGTTAAACCAAAAGGTTCTCATTTTGCTTTTTTAGCAAAAATTTATAGCAATTCTAAGATTTGTTAGAAGGTAAATGAAAGAAGGTTTCATGGTATGATGGTAAGATATCTTTTTATATCACTGTCTTAAACATATTTTAGATCATTCTTTACTTATGACAAAGTATGTTTCAGATTTGAGAATGATTATTAATTTTGCTTTCATTGGGTCTAAATTTTGTATCTTTTGATAGTAAATTAGATAATCTACTTCACTCCCATGGATATCAGCTCAACTAAAACTAAATTAACCACAAATCTTAATATATTTAATTTGTTTGTATCATCTCATTTTATTACAGGTAATTGGTGCATCATTTTTAATTATGGATCATTATATATTTTGCATTATCATTAGCTTCTCTATTAAAAATAATGGTATCAATATACATATCTAATATAGATGGCCATATATATGAACTTATGAAATTTTTTAGGATAAGAGCGTTAGTTGTTAGCGAACTAAGTTAAATAACAAGCTTCTTTAGTAAGATTTTATAAGAGAATTTAGATAAATTTTAAAGAAGGTTATAATATTTAGTGAAGATGAAGAGCTTGATATGAATATAAAAGAGCTTACAACTTTCTAAAAATTTTTTTCATATGTAGTCTTAATAATCAAGGTATTGGACAAATCCATCACAAAAGGTTTATGGTTCATGCTTGTTAAAACCCTTATTAACAATGTTTGGTTTCTCTAATAAACTTTATCAAAGAAAATATTAATTTTCACATATCTAGGAATGTATTAAGCCAATCAATTTGCATATGAATGCTTTTATTTTAATTATTTATAATTTTAAAAATATTAATATTATAAAGATAAGTATTGGGCTTTATGTTGTTATGTGTTTAACCTAACTTCTTATGATACTATATTATATGGGAGAGAAATTAAAATCATAGAAGATATGAAAAATCAGTTGTTCTATTTAGGTGTTATTTTTATGCTTATGAGTTTTGGTAAGAAATATTTAGATTAGAAATTATGCATAAATAAAAGACCAATATTAATAAAAATGATTTTAATAGTAATTAAATCTTTTAACACAAACAAACATTCTTTCAACCATAATAAGCAAGAAAAAAACCATAATGATTTTAATAGTAATTAGTTAAAGGATTCTTTCAACCATAATAAGCAAGAAAAAAACCATACATATTATATGATATTGAAGAAGAAGAAATAACAAAGCAACTAACAATAATAAGTTAAAGGATGAGAATACATGCACATTTACAATTAATTTGTTTTGGGTGTATCCTTCTTATGACTACATGATATAGAAGTGATGATAATAAGTTCTATTTGCATGCAATGATATTCTATTTTCTTATTTTAAGCCGTATGTGTATTAAATGTATGGAAAAAATGGTATGTATGACATTATAGTTCTTTACATTATATTATGTCTATAAATCTTGATGGGGTGGGATATATGCCTAATCTAAGAATGATTATTGTGGATTAAGAGTTCATCAAAAATGTATATTATTTCATAGTTGACGTTAAACCTCACTAAAACTATTCAACATAGGCCCACCCATATGCTAGCCTTGTCATTTTTCTACTGTCAAACTTATTATGGTCATGTCTGCAACCTCTCATATCAGCCATCTAACCATACCACCCACCAATCAGGAGCTTTGCTTAGAGTCAACCCCAATGTTGTGGAGTCATTAAACTATTAATTTTTCTTGTTTTAAGAGTTAACAAGCTCCTATTTAGAACTCCTCGTGTTTATCCTCAAGTCTTGCACTTCTAACAACCCTACTACTACCTAATTAATGCAAGAGTTTTTCTAGCCTTTCTCACACTAAAAATAATCTCCCTGCCTTGATCAACTATTTCCACTATACCTCACTCTTTGTGATGGGTTCATGGGTAACATTTTGGGCGCCAACACCTCAAGGTGGCAACATCCTCCCTATTTTCTTGCCCATGATGGTTTCTCATATCATGATGTTTCCCTCTGTCTAATTTACAAAACTACTCTCCATGATCGTCTAAATACACTCAATAATTTAGTCTCTAATATCAGGTATCTCTGTTATGATCCCTTTAGCGACCCAACCAACCAAAAACTTCTTATAGATAAATACTCTTCTTATAGACAAATCTTCATCTTTTATAAAGATTAGCAAATGATTTCTACCTCTGATTTTTCCTTTAAATTTCCAACTGCTCATGTTGAATTTTCTTTTCCACTACAAACATGGTTGTTTTTGTGTATTTTGCCCTTCTCTGCTTTCTTACCATAGCAACTTCTATGCCTAATTAACTCCCTTCTTCATATTGTGATTTAGAGCATAATAAAACATGTGATAGATGCATTTATGTAATAGAGATCTTCTAAACTGTGAAGCTAACATAAACGCAGGGAGGAGATACAACGAATTAAAGCAGCAAAGCCTGACATCCCCCACAGAGAAGCTTTCAGCACAGCAGCAAAGAACGTATGTCTAATCATAATTATAATTATAATTAATTGCTTACTCATATAAATTCCTTAATTACTTTCTTAACTTAAAAAAATTGTTGCAGTGGGCTAAATGTGATCCTCGTGGTGTAAACACTGTCAACCCAACCTCTGAAAACAATGAAGCCATGAAATCAATCATGTTTCAACATGTAAGTTCTTCCCCCCCCCTAAGTTAGGGAAATATCTATGAATTATGAGGTATGTATGTAATTATTATTTTTTGTTTTGGAGAAATAATTCCTTAAAATTTCAATTTTTTACATAAGCACCAGCTTACCTCTGCATGAAAAGACATGTTTCAGTTTTTAAAACTTATAATAGTGATGTTTTGAACGTGATATGAAAGATTTGGGTGGTATAAATATAAATATCAAAAGTTTAGTGGGTAGATGTGTAAATACATATGAATTTGGTGATAGGTATTTAATATGTGAATAATGATGCATGTGCTTGTATGAATGGTGCAGGAAAGAGGCAATGGATATGCAGTGGAAGCCTTTGACGTTTTCAAACAAATGGATCGCCAGAACTAAATTGTTTTAACGAGCAGCTTATGTTGTTTTTCTGCTTCATTTTCAAAACATATAGCCTTTCTATAATTCCTAATTACATGTTGTGATGCTTTGCTTGAAGAAGAAACTGTCAACTTTTATGTTAATTTCTACCGTATTAGTTCATATATTTAATTCCATAATTATAATTATCTTGGTCTCATCTTAATATATTTTTTTAATATTTCAGCACTCTTATAGATTCTGGGCCTAAGACGATGCCATATAAATAGTCAGGGACTATTTTGTCACTTTAGTTGTCGAAGTGTGAAACGAGTTGATTTTGAGCTGAGCTGGGTCCGTCTAAAACTCGGCTCAAATAGATTGAGTTTGAATCAAAATCGCCCGGTGGCTCATTATGTTTGATTTTGAGCCAGCTCGGCTAGAAATTGAATTGAGGTCTAGCTAGAATCGAAACAAGTTGGCTAAAATTTGAGCTATTTGGATCTATTCCAACTCGAAATCGGCTTGATCCTGCTCTAAATCGAAACAAGATGCCTCAAGTTAGAGTGAGTTTTTTTTGGATCTGCTCCAACTCACAGCTCATTATGTCAGATTCAATCTAGCATTGCATAATTTTTTTTATAAATAAAAAATAATTTGAGCAGATGTCAAGCCAATTCGAGCTTATTCATGTATGACTTTGAAATAAATTTGAAAAAATTTAATCCAAAATTTTAACTTTTCTATCCCATCACCATTCTAACATTTGAATCAATTTTTAAATAATTAATAATATTTGAGATAAATTCACACTCCTATTTACTCCATAAAAATTTATTCTATAAACTAGATTTGGGCCGTCAATTTGGTTTATGTAATCTGGGCCACTAAAAATGGTCACAATGGTGCGTCCGGCAGGCTGACTTAATTACAGCCCACGTACGAATTCAATACCGTAGTTCAACAAAGTTTTCCGGCACAATAGTTGAGCAACAAAATTGATTATTGATTTCAAAATTAAGATGGCCCAAACTTTAAAATTTCATTTTTTTTATATGATTTGTCTTGGAAAGTAGAACTTTGGGTGGTATAAATATAAAATTCTAAAGTTTAGTGGGTAGATATGTAAATACATATGAATTTCGTGATAGGTATTTAATATGTGAATAATGATGCATGTAATGGTGCAGAAAAAAGGGAATGGATATGCAGTGAAAGCCTGACGTTTTGAAACAATGTAGAATATATATATCAGTATATTATGAGGAGCGGAACCAACAAAATTATTTTTTAGATAAAAAAGTCTCCAAATGTCTAATTTTTAAAAAAAAAAAAATTAGACAAAATTACTAAATTGACTAAGCTATATAAGAAAACAAATATTAAATTTTATTATTTATATAGAGCAAATTCTAAAGTGTGTAATATATTTATTATAAGAGGAGTTAAATTATAGAATATGAATGGGTTGCGCTTGCAAATTATTTATTTACTTTATTTTATTAAAACAAAATAAAAATTTAGGAAGAATTAGTAGGCATATATATCTATTTCTAAAAAGATGCCTGAGGAGTGGATAAAGAACATTTTGTTCTCTTTTTTTATGAATAAAGTGGATGCACGAGAGTGTGCAAATTATAGATGAATTAAGTTAATGTGTCGTACTTTCAAATTATGAAAGACGGTAATTGAACATAGGTTAAGAAGTGATACAAATATTTCTCACAATCATTTGGATTTATGATGGGCAAGTATACTATGAAAGCTATATATTTATTGAGAGGTTTGATGGAGAGTATAGAGAGAGAAAGGAGGATCAATATATTATTTTTATTGATTTAGAAAAAGCTTACTATAAGATTCCAAGCAAAGTTCTTTGGAGAGTTTTAGAAAAAAAAAAAGGCGTTGATATAAATTATATTCAAGTCATTAAGGACATGTATTCTAGATTTATTATTTGTGTTCGAACTGAAAGAGGATTGTTCAAGTATTTTTCTATTTCAGTAGGATTACATCAGGGTTCAGCTTTAATTAGCTCACATCTTTTTGCTTCAGTTATGCATGCTCTTGTTGGATATATACAAGAGAATGTACCTTAATTGGTGTATGTTTTTTATTGATGATATCCTTTTTGTGGATAATACTAGAGAAGGATTTTAGGAAAAACTTGAATTATGGAAGTTTACATTGGAGTTAAAAGCCTTTGTTTGAGTAGATCTAAAATTGAATAAATGGAATGTAATTTTAGTAGTTGTGGATCCAATAGTAGTGTTGTAGCTATGGGTGATTAAATCATTAAAAAGTTATGAACATTTTAGATATCTCTAGTCTATTGTTCAAATTGATGGTGATATATATGGGGATGTTACTAGTGGAATTCAAGTTGGTTGGTGGAAGTGGAGGAATGCATTAGGCCTATTGTGTGATGGAAAAATATTGCTTAGAAAATTTTATACGATGGTGATGAGACCTAGAATGCTTTATGGCTCAAAAAATTGCCCTTTAAAAGAGAAGCAAAAAACAAATTTAGGTGTTGTTGAGACGAAAATGCTTAAGTGAATGAGTGTCTTGATACTTAGACAAAATGTGAAACTAATCTATCCGTGAAAGGGTTGACGTAGCTCCAGTTGCAGACAAGATTATAGAGAGTCATCTTAGATGGTTTGGTCACATTAAACGTCAACCATCTAATGATCCAGTTAGAAGAGTAGATGTTTTAGATTTAACTTGTGTTAAAAAAAGGCAGAGGTAGACCCATAATCATTTGGGTGCATTTTATTAAAAATTATTTTGATCTATAATAATTACTTGAAAATATGAAGCTTAATACGAAACAATAGAGAAAAAGGATCCATGTAGCCAACCCCACTTAGTGGGATAAAGGCTTCTTGATAATTGTATCTGGCTTGGTTGTTGGAGACTTCGAATCTGTTTTTAATTGAATGGTACAAATGTTCCTTAGTTGGACTAGCCAGAGCAAGACCGAGCTCCACCTTGATTCAGCTAGAAGCTTCGTCGATATGCGGGACCCAAGTCTGGTTGTTAGATGCTACTCCTTTGCTTGGCTCGCTTAGTTCAAAAGATTTGCTGGGAAACCAGCTATGAGTAGCACTTTGATTGTGGTTTGGGCGTGAAAGAGATATCAAATTGAGCTTCACCACCCATTTGAGAAGCCAACAGAAGCCCTTTGACTGAGTGAGAACATATTTGAGTGGATGGTCGGTGATGATCCATACCGAATGCATTTAAAAATATAGGTAAAGGTTACAATTGAATATAATAAGAGTAACTATTACATTTCATAAAAGGATACAGAGCTCGACACCTTGGAGGACCCGACTAATAATGTAAATTGAGAACTATTTCTTTAGTTTCTCTTGGACTAAAACCAAGCTGATGGCTTCAAGTCAAGCTCCCAATAGAGATAGTTCTTTATTCGACTTTAGGCTCTAAAGGAGCGCTAGCAACACTATGGAATCGCTTAGCTTTCTAAATGCTATCATCTAAATAAACAAAGGTCTCCACTCTTCTCGAAGTTTTTAAAAACACATAAAACTTGTCATTTGATTTCGAGATGAACCATCCGATATGTGGTTGTTGGTCGCATTTAAAAACTCAGCAATTGTCTTTGGTCTCTGCAAACTCAAAATGTACCAAAAGGGTCCCTTCCTTAACTTTTGAGCTAGAGCACCATGAGATACAATGGGCTCTGGATCCGGTACTTCCAACACCACCTTTTGAAAGAAGGTGATGAACGAGTGAAGGCTCTCATTCTGTCTCTATCGGAACTTCAGGAGGGCCCAAGACATCTTCTCAGACATTCAGGCCCTAACAAACCGTGTCTAGGGCTGTCAAAACGGCTCGTTGTTCGCGAACAGCTCATGTTCAGCATATATATGTATGTAAAAGTGAAATACACATGTTCATACAGAGACAAGGTACAAGGTGGCATATATATGTATGTAAAAATTGAATTTTAGGTACATATGCATGTAAATTTTCTTATATTTGCTTATTTATTTTGGCTGTACCTTGAAGGCATCTAATTGTTCATCCCTGAAAAGATCATCACATGAGAACTCAGTCACTGCTCTCCACTTCAACTGAGCTGTGTCAAAATAATCAAAATAAAATTGACTAGTAGCTGCACCAGAGCTTCCTTGAATTGATGGAGACCGTGCCTCCATTCTTAACCTACTCACAAAACAAAGACATAAGAAATGAAATGTCAGTCTAGCTTTTCACCATCGATCCAGCTATATTTACATACCTAACACTCAAAATTTTTTTGTTACAGTTACACCGCCCAAATCTTTCATATCACATAAAGAATGCCACCATTTTAGCTTTTAAGTGTCAGAAACATTTGCTTGAAGACATTGAACGTTGTGATTACTCTCGGTGGCAATGAATTGAACCGCATGAGGGATAACTCCCTCAACATGATAAAGAAGAGTCAACATTTCAATGCGTCAGTGATCCTCAACAAATAGTTGACTCTAACAAGGTTATGTCGTGTGTCAAGTCAGTTTCACCCTCATGGGACTCTAGTGTCAGGATTTTGAAACTATCTAGGGACTTGAGCTCAGATATTTGCCAAGTGAATGAATTATCTAGTGGTTGAGATACCTTAGTACACCTGAGCTGATGTCGGTCAATAGATGCCGACCCAACACTATTGAAATACTAAGAGTCTCCTTCTTTTTCTTGGACTAAGGGGGCACTTTGGTTGTTAGGCGATGACCCTTCCTCTAAAGGTTGTTACTCTCTTCCCCGAGCTCGTGCCTTTCGAATGACATCCAACATTTGATCCTTAAGCATCTAGATTAGTTGGTTCACAAACTCTCTTGTGCACTCCATATTACAGGCGTCCCTATAGTGAGTTTCTTTTCTGTGGGATGCACTTCTTCTTGTCTTTGAAATGATCTATGCCTACAACACTTTTTAGGATGTTGAATCCCTATTTGTCAATGAATAACATCTCAATGAATAAAGCAAAAAAATGAAATTGAGATAAAACAATATGCTTATGTTAGATTTTTTACTCCTGCTTTGATGGGGGATTTATAGGTTATTCAAGATATTTTACAGATATGAGTCTATCGTTCAGTTACACTTTAGCTAAGTTGGCTGAGCTCATTTAGATTCGACTCAATAGGACAAATTCGATGGGCTAGTCTTAGTCAGTTCTGTCAATCAACTGAGCTTGGTGGGCTTCAGTTAGGAGGACTAGTTCACTTGTTGTGTTAGACTAGTTAACAACGCTTGATAATAGAAAGGGTAGCTTTTGAACCGCCCAGGTACGACTGAAGGTGTCGAGAAGCTAGGTCTTCCCTCGAGTTGACTTCTTCATGTCGGTTGACTTGAATATTTATTCATTTCATTTCTAACCGAATAGCATGGATTAAGATAATTCAATCATCTTCGTGGAACTGTTGGCTTTGGTCGTGCTTACTCTAGCTCTGACTACTGCACCCATTAGGATAAGTGGTTCTCCTGACCTTCTTTCAGTGGGTCCTTCTTCGTTATACACTCTTCTTTCTGGACGGTCAGATGTCTTCAAGATCTGTGCGGACACATTTTCGATGTACAAGTGTAAATATTAATGTTTAGGTGTTAGATATAAATGTACATACATGTGTTTTGTTTGGCTTTTATTGTAAATCATGTAAATGCATACGAGTTGCGTGATAGGTAAAAATATTTCATTATGCAAACATTGATTATTGATTTCAAGAATTAAGATGGCCCAAACTTTGAAACTTCATTAATTTATATGATTTGTATGGAAAGAAGAACTCTGAAACTTGTCTATGCTTTCACAAAGATTTTCTATAGCAGTTTCAGCTTACTAACAGAGAAAAGGAGATATATTGTAGAAATTTTTGGATGAAGGTACAGGATATGTTTTTAACTTCAAGATATCAAAACTTAACATAATTTATTTGCAAGGTATTGTCAATTAGAAATATTAGTTTATTTGCATGTGCAGTACTTCAAGTATATTATGAAGATTAAAAAAATAAATCAGAATGCCTAATTCCATTTTCTTTTTTTATCCAATTGAACATATCCTTTGAGAAATATTTTTCTAGTATTTTGCGTAGTTTGTAGCAGTCTGATATGTAACACTTAATAGAATGCTTAAGAAAAAGAATTGAGTATAATATAGGCATAGAGTGTTGTGTTGTCCCTCATAATAAAAAGTCTACATCTATGATGGCATAGAGAATGAAATGAGATAATGAGATGGCATCTCAAAGAAAGATAGGGTGATAGAGGAGCGAACTTGAACTCGGGAAGCGTTGATAGAAGAAGGGTAATAAGTGCTAATTCTACTGCCAATGTAAATTAGTTAATGTGAAGAACTATAAGGAGGGAAGACCTTTGTAAAAAGGTCACTCTTGGAGATCTTGTGTCGAGGTGATTTGAGAAAGAGAACATGGCAAGATGAGAGCTCATTGATCTTGAAGATCTTGTATTGAGGAGATTCGAGAAAGAGATCAGGGCAAGATTAGAGTTCATTCCTCGATATAAGAAATTTGTAATTCTTCTTTATTGCCTTAGTGGATTTGACGGTTGATTTGCATCCCATGGATGCAGGTCCTATGGACGGAACCACGTAATTCTCGGGTATTCTTGTTTTTTGTTTGCATATTATCTTTGTTACAGTTTTTCGTTTCTTTTCCCTGTTTTATTGTCCGTTGCAGTTTCACTCTCCTTCAGTTGTCAAGGAGGTGTTTGTCTTTTATTGTTTCTTCCTATTCGGCAGTCAAGTTCTTTGTTTTCTTGAGGTACCAAGCGGTCCTATTTTTCTTCAACAATTGGCATCGTCTGTGGGAAACCTAGCAATGCCAATGAGAACCTCCAAATTTGACCTCGAGAAATTCACCGAAAATAATGATTTCGGCCTATGGAGAGTCAAGATGAGAGCTCTATTGGTGCAGCAAGGTGTCGCGGAAGCTTTGCAAGGGCCGATGACATTGCTGGCTAAGATGTCCGGGAAAAAGGAGAATGACATCCTGGACAGGGCTCACAGCTTGATAATCTTGAGCTTGGGTGACAAAGTTCAGAGGGAAGTGTTGAGGGAGACGACGGCTCAAGCACTTTGGGTGAAACTCGAACTGCTTTATATGATGATATCTTTGGCTAATAGGCTCCTCTTGAAGCAACGTTTGCATTCTTTCAAGATGCATGAAGATAAATTCTTCTCACAACAAATCGATGAGTTTAACAAGATTATTGATGATCTTAAAAATATCGATGTCAAGATTGATGATGAGGACAAGACACTGTTGTTGTTAAACTCCATTCCTAAGAGCCGAAGAGCTACGAGCATTTCAAAGATGCGATGTTTTATGGAAAGGTGCAAATAATTTCCTTGGAAGAGGGTCAGTCGTTGTTTAGAGCCAAAGAACTTTAAAAGAAACATGACATGAACAAGGAAATCAGCGGAGATGGTCTTGTTGTGAGAGGAAGATCGGACAAGAAAGATTCAAGAAACGATTAGAATAGATCAAGGTTGAGACAAGGAAAGAAGAGCAAGGGCTAAGGGCCCCTCGGGGCTAGGTAGAGGGAATCTCTATTCAATATTTTGTAATTGAGAGTCAATGTGAATAATTGTTGCAAAGACTCACAATTACTAAACTAAGGCAAGGGGAAAACTTGTAATTCTATCAAAGTTATTAAAGAATTATAGAAGCTTTCAATTGGTGAACCAGGTCTACTTGTGGAAGGCTCATTTGTTAAAAATAGTGAGGGAGGCTTATAGAGAGGTGACCAAGGGAAAGCAAATCAATTGGTTAGAGAAAGAAGAGGAGAGACTTCAAGAATTGAGAGGAAGGATCTTGGGGACCTTGTGTCGAGGTGGTTCGAAAGAGAGATCATGGCAAGATGAGAGTTCCTTGATCTTGGAGATCTTGTATCGGGGAGATTTGAGAGAGTGATCAGACCAAGATGAGAGCTCTTTCCTCAATGTAAAAGCTTTGTAATCCTCTTTATTGTCTTAGTGGATTTGATGGTTCATTTCTCCACCGTGGATCTAAGTCCTATGGACCGAACCACATAATTCTTGGGTGTTGGATCTAAGTCCTATGGACCGAATCACATAATTCTTGGGTGTAAATGTTTCTTGTTTGCATATTATCTTTGATACAGCTTTTCATTTTTTTTCCTTGTTTTCTTTCCTGATGCGATTTCACTCTTCTTCGGTTGTCAAGGAGGTTTTCGGCATTTATTTTTTCTTCCTATTTGGCAGTCCAGTTCTTGGTTTTCTTCAGGTGCTCGACAATCCAGTTCTTGATTTTCTTGAGGTGCCAAGCGGTCCTATTTTTCTTCAACAGTCATCAAATGCAATGAAATAGAGGAAATAATAAAAAATAGTATATTAAAATTAAAACTTGTTTTGATTTTGTACCCTACATCTATTACGAATAATTGTTTGTGGGTTCTTGGGAGAAGTGTGAGATGTAGGAGGGAGACGTTAATTAGCATGTAAAAGCATAGTATTTGTTGTATTTCTTGACCTATGAAATGCCTAAGTTTACTTCTCATGAATCTTACAAAAAATGTTCTTTATGAATAGAAGACAACAACTTCTATGATTATTATTATTATTATTGTTATTATGTATTTTCTAAACAACTAGAAAACCCTTCTATTGACTCCTTTATAAATTTATATTTATAAGATCTTACACAAATTCACAAAATAGATTTTTGGGATACATTGTTGAGTTTCTTCACATCCAATTCAAAGCATATATTCCACTCTGCATATGCATAATCAAATAACACAAAATTAAAAATTGCATCAAACATAAAAAAACTATTCTCATGCCCATTCAAAGTGCAAACAAGAACTAGAATAAGACTAAGTATCTAAAAGATAAACTTTTAGAATGCAAAACTAGCAGAAACAGAAGTCCCCCTTCTGATAAACCCAGCATTAGCAGTCTGATAAACAGGCAGTCTGCAACTAAAATCACCAAAATCATAGCTCTTCAACTCAAACAAATCAGAGCTCGAGTCACTCTCATCATCACCATTCTCTTCATCTCTTCTCTTCTTCTTCTTCTTCTTCTCCCTCATCCCATCTTCTTCCCTTTTCCTCAACAAGAACTCATCACCATTTCTTCTCAGAAGCCATTTCTTCTCCCCAACTGCAGCACCATTGAAGGATTTCAAGCTTTTTGAAAACTTATTCCCTTTGTTTTCTGAATGTATTTTTCTTTCTTCGTTGCTTTGATCTATCACTTGCTCTACAGGTTTCTGGTTCTGCCTCTTCTTAGAAGGTGTTTGTTGAAATAAAGAGTTGAAAAAAGTGGCAAATTTTCTTCCAGGTGAGATAGGCTGCTGCTTGTATTTCTTCTCCTCCTTATTGGTGCTTTCAACCTTTATAAACATGTTAAATTATAAAAAAAAAAAAAATTAAAAATGGAATATGTTTGAACAAAAAAATGGAATAATTGCATCATTGCACTTAAAATTAAAAATGGAATATATTTGAACAAAAAAATGGAATAATTGCATCATTGCACATAAAAATTAAAATTAGCATAGAAAACTGTTTTGTTTAGGACTTATTTGGGATCAATTTTATTTTTTATTTTTATTTTTGTTTTTAAAAATATGTTTGCATAATGTGTTTTTAATATATTATTATTATTATTTTATTTCTACAAAATAAATAAATAAATGTTTTTTAAAACATTTAAACCAACTCTAAGGCGGTGTTTGAATGCACTCAGGATTTGCGTTTAATAGAACTTAGTAAATCCGGTAAATTCAGAATAGTGTTTGGTGCAGTTGAGGTTAAATTAGGTGAAATTTTTCAAACATATCTCACATTTTATTTCAGATTCTTATTGCCATAGCTTTCTTCCCAAATTAAATTCATTAAATCCACCAAATAGTTGGATTTAACAAATCCGGATGTAAGGCATTGGATTTAACTTTCCTTTTTTTATGCGTCTCGCTAGATTTACGCTAAGGGTCTGTTTGGGGCAGCTTATAAGTGCGAGCGGCGTTTTGAAAACGCCGTCGTACCATTTGGTTCGCGGTACCATTTGGTTCGCGCTTGGTTCGCGCGTTTCGCCAGCTTATCTGAAACTGCATTTGGGTTTACACTAAACACGGGCCGCGAGTCGACCCCTGCGGCCGGCCCGCGGGCCACGGGCCACGTTTCAGGATAAGCAGCTTATCCTGAAACGCACAAGCTACCTCAAACGGACCCTAAATCCTGTTAAAATTACGCTACCAAACACTCCCCAAATATTTTAAATATTGTAAAAAACAATCATATATTAATCAACCTATTATAAACAAAAGAGAAACTGAGAAACTTAATGTAAGATTTCAAAAAGCTCAACATTCAGGTCAAAATAATAACTTGCCATCACTCAGCCTACTAAAATAAACTGCGTTCTATGAAATTTTCTATTGGCTTAGCTCTCAACCTTTTGGCATGGAATAGAAGCCATCATCTCCAAGCTCTTTTTCATGGCATTAATGGGCCTATGAGAAACCATAGCGGTGCTGTTGTATCCAAACCCGAAGCCGACGCCGTCGATGCAGCCTGAAAAATAACGCGATGCATCAAAAACATCGAGCTCGGACGAATCGTTTTTCCGGCGGCGGGGGGAGGGAGACATGGAAGCAAGGCT